CCTATCTATCTATCTATCTATCTATCTATCTATCTATCTATCTATCTATCTATCTATCTATCTATCTATCTATCTATCTATCTATCTATCTATCTATCTATCTATCTATCTATCTATCTATCTATCTATCTATCTATCTATCTATCTATCTATCTATCTATCTATCTATCTATCTATCTATCTATCTATCTATCTATCTATCTATCTATCTATCTATCTATCTATCTATCTATCTATCTATCTATCTATCTATCTATCTATCTATCTATCTATCTATCTATCTATCTATCTATCTATCTATCTATCTATCTATCTATCTATCTATCTATCTATCTATCTATCTATCTATCTATCTATCTATCTATCTATCTATCTATCTATCTATCTATCTATCTATCTATCTATCTATCTATCTATCTATCTATCTATCTATCTATCTATCTATCTATCTATCTATCTATCTATCTATCTATCTATCTATCTATCTATCTATCTATCTATCTATCTATCTATCTATCTATCTATCTATCTATCTATCTATCTATCTATCTATCTATCTATCTATCTATCTATCTATCTATCTATCTATCTATCTATCTATCTATCTATCTATCTATCTATCTATCTATCTATCTATCTATCTATCTATCTATCTATCTATCTATCTATCTATCTATCTATCTATCTATCTATCTATCTATCTATCTATCTATCTATCTATCTATCTATCTATCTATCTATCTATCTATCTATCTATCTATCTATCTATCTATCTATCTATCTATCTATCTGTCCATCCATCCAACTCCAGAAGTTCAGTGAGGAACTCTAAATGATCCATTGTTGACCAAAATGACAGCTTACGATTAACAGAATCCACCTGTGTGTAATCAAGTATGCGTATAAATGGACCTCCTCTGTGATCTTCTCTGAGGTCTGTTTAAAGTGCAGAGAGCATCATGAAGACAAGGAATACACCAGCCAGGTCCAAGCTACTGTTGTGGAGAACTCTAATGCAGCCAAGAGACCCATGGACACTCTGGCTAAACTGCAAAGATCTACAGCTGAGGTGGAAATAGTACACCACAGCAACCCAGCATATGTTGTCTTCAACAACAGGCACACATTTTCCTTTTGTCACCAGCAAGCAGAACTGATAAAGCTGGATTTGGATACAAAAATATTTCCCAAGTTTTACACATCCCAAGGAGCGCTGTGCAAGCGATAATATTAAAATGGAAGGAGTATCAGACCACTGCAAATCTACAAAGACCCAGCTGTCCCTCTAAACTAACAGCTCAGACAAGGAGAAGACTGATTAGAGATGCAGCCAAGAGGTCCATGATCACTCTGCAGTATACAACCAGCTGTATAATGCACAAAGCTGGTCTTTGTGAAAGAAAGCCATTTCGTAAAGATCTCCATAAAAAGTATTTTTTTTAAAGTTTGAACCAGGACAGAGCAAACATGTGGAAGAAGATGCTCTGGTCATATGAAACCAAACTGAGCATTTAGGCAACAAAGCAAAACGTTATATTAAGCATAAAAGCAACACATCTTATTACCCTGAATACACCATCCCCATGTCAGACATGGTGGTGGCAGCATCATGGTTTGGGCCTGCTTTTTATTCAGCAGGGATAGGGAGGATGGTTAAAATTGATGGGAAGACGGATGGAGCCATATACAAGACCATTCTGGAAGAAAACCTGCTGGAATCTGCAAAAGACCAAAGACTGGGACGTAGATTTGTCTTCCAACAAGACAATGACCTAAAATATAAAGCAAAATCTACAATGGAATGGTTATATAAACATATTCAGGTGTTACAATGGCCAAGTCAAAGTCCAGACCTTAATCCAACGGAGAATCTTTAGAAAGAACTGAAAACTGCTGTTCACCAACTCTTAATTGAATAATTTTGCACACCCAATTTTTCAGTTTTACATTTCTTTTGTAATATAGATAAAATTTGTTCTCCTTCATGATTGTGTGCCACTTGTTGGGGATTTTTCACAAAGGAATTACAATTTTATTTCTTTGTGTTTGAAGCCTGAAATGGGGCAAAACGTATATATAAACGTATATATATATATATATATATATATATATATATATATATATATATATATATATATATATATATATATATATATATATATATATATATATATATATATATATATATATATATATATATATATATATATATATATACTGTATATATAAAGCTGATAAAGATGCTCTGTTTTTTCTGTGGATAAATGTTGGTTGTCATGTTTATGGCGGTTGAAACTGAAGATGCAGCTTGTGTCTATTGCTGAAAGGCACATAGTCTGTAGAGTGTCCTTCACATCACGCAAAGGTAAAAGTCACTTGCTTTCGAGCTTGGTTCTCTTAATTCCCATGATGTGTTGCTCCACGGTCAGACAAAGGCTCAATGTTATCCTCACTGCACAGATGGGATCCAGACGCGGAATTTGTTTGAAAAGACAAAGGAAGGGGGCTCTAACCGTAAGAGGAAAACGGAGAAGTGCTGACCCCCCTTCTTGTTCGCCCTCATCATCACCCCCCCTCCTCCCAGCGGGAGGCGCGGGGCGCGTGCAGCAAGTGTGCCGCTCAGTCCGACGGAGAGGCTTGGCTTTACTGCGCCCAACAAATGCTACATTAATCAGTATATTGATAGCTTTGTTAAATGCTACTTCATGGATCGGTTTTCATTTTAAAAATCATGTTTTTTCTCCTTTTTTGATATGTAACTTTGCACTTGAACTGTTATTTAATATTTTAATTTCCTCTCTAAAGGAGATTACTGCGACCATCTCAAACCAGTGATTATCTCCGTTACTTGTCCACATTTTCTGTTAAATATTTTCCTTACAATCAATTTCCACTGTTTTGCACAAACATCCAGTTTCTTTATCAATGACCTATCTTATAGTGGATAACCAACATTTTTATATTAACGCTCGTTTTTTTAACCAACTGTTTGAATTTTGTGTTTTAAAGAACTGTAATGAGACAACCCCTTTAAATATTTCACCGTTTGCAACGATTCTAAACATTTGTATTGAATCACTAAAAGAAATAACATGTTGATGCTATTCCAATAAGCAAAAATTGTCAAATAATAAAAATATATATAAAGAAATAAAGATTTGGAGTAAAATGAACGCAGAGTCTTTATTCTTATTTCCTGTTTCTTAATTTGTTTAATTTAATGCATTTCAAGTGGAACAATATGCAATTCCCTTCTACTAAAAATCGAAATAATAAACCACAGCAACCCAGCATATGTTGTCCTCAACAACAGTCACACATTTTCCTTTTGTCACCAGCAAGCAGAACTCATAAACATTTATTTAAAGATAGCTTGGACGCTGGAAATAGCCAAGGGTCAATGCAAATAAGACAATCAGCATGAAGTAAAACCGAGGTGGGGGTGGTTTGGAAATATTGTGTTCTGATTGGATTTGGACGTAAGGGACCTATGAGATGCGCGCAAACTGGATACCCACGCCAAAAGTGACACATGATTGGAGATCGTGTGTCCTGCATTTGAAGTTTAGAGGGGGAAAAGTGCACGCGTATGCCGCACTGAGTTGGATGAAAGTCGGAGGGACTCCGAGCCCCAGGAGGTGTGTGGGGGAGCAGAAGTGATGATGATGAATGGAGGTACAGGGTAAGGGTGGGGTTGGGATTTGTAACAGACAGCCATCTGGTCCCCGTGGCGCGTGCAGCGCGCGTGGTTCCCTTGAGTGCAGAGGCATTTGATGGGCTGTCACACCAGTTTACATTTTTTTTTTTTTTTTTACACCAGCATCTTTGGAGCACATTTTGGACATGTTTGTAGAAACTCTAAATAGAGATAAAGTGTATCCCCCCCAAAAAAACTCCACGTCCAGCTCCAGATAAAGTTTTCAAACATTAAAGTTCTGTAAAAACAAGTCAAGGGGTTGTAATTTTATGTCATGCTGAAGCTTTTCTGAACAAAGAACACTCCCATCCCCTCTCCATCCTCTGTATAGCCCCCACCTTTTTACGTGAAGCGTTAGCTCCAGCCGGACACTCCCTACAGGTAGTGAACCCCCCCCCGGGCAGGAACTGCGTAAAAACGTCATATGGATATGCAAAACTATTGTTGTCAAAATGTATGAGCAGATGCTGTATAAAAAGTAGCGTCGCTTGGGTGTGTGATTGGAGAAGGAGGGTGTGTTTTTGGAAACAATTTTCTGCACAAACAAGCCTGACCCCTATGCGAGTTATGTGCATATTGCATCCTGTAGTGCTCTATATTTTAATCACAATATATTAGACGATATAAATGGAATTGGTATAACAAAGAGAACCAAATCATATTACTGAAATAATCATGTATCATTTAGAAATAACAGTTGGGATGTTTCAGGGCATCCGATGGTTCACAGCTCGTGTTATGATTAAGGCATATAAATATTGTTTAGAAACAGGTATACAAAAATAAAATCATTTTGCTTTAGATATTTAATGCTTTTTTCACACTTCAAGAAACAAAAAAGCTCGGTTTTGTTTTTAGTTACCCAAAGTTGGAACATTTACGCACCAATATATTCTTATGTTGAAATAATAAATCACAAATCAACTAAAACATTTTTAAAAACGAAAAAAGAGAGCAATGTTTATTGCTTGGCAGATAAATAAATTAATTTCTGGCAGACTGAATGTGTACTTATTTTGTTTTATATTGTGCGTCTTTACGCACGGATTTCTCCAGCTTTCTGACGCATCTTTTGTTTGGTTTGTGCTTGTGGATCAAATTGCAGACACGCATTTTGGCTTCGCCTAGTTTAAAATTGCGGACAGATGGTTATCTTTTTAAAATTCGATGCTTTTGTGTTGTTTTCATCGTATACCGGCCTTATCCGGATCGTTCTTTTGGCTTGGGGGCGTAGCCGTGACGCACGGAAACCGACGCTACGGACTTGGATAAATACCGCACATTTCGTCCATTAGAGTCAGATCTTCTTCGATTGTGCCCTTGAACACTTTTGTTGAACAAAGACGACACAGAATAAGTCTCCAAACATGACCTATGACGCTCTCCCGTCGTTTTCTCCAAGGCTTACTGTGGCCAAAAGGAAAGAGGCTTTGGAGTTGAGAAAGGTAAGCTAAATAATATTTGTTATATATATTTTATAATTTTACATTCGAGTTTTTAGTCATAAAAAATCATGGATGTATTGTAATATTATCTGTGTTCTTTTCAGACGATGAAACCACTGATGGAAAAACGAAGGCGCGCTCGCATCAATGACAGCCTGAACCACTTGAAAAACCTCATCCTTCCTCTCACAGGCAGAGATGTAAGCCAATTTATTCTTTTTATTATATATATAAAAAAGAAAAGCTAATATGTAGCCCTGGAAATTCAACATATTTTTTATCTGCGTGTGTTTAATAATCACTTTTTTCCTTACAGAAAACTCGCTACTCTAAGCTGGAGAAAGCTGACATCTTGGAAATGACCGTGAAGTTCCTCAGTGGCATTCCTCCTGTTAACGCAAAAAGTGAGGACGATTTCTTTCCCCTTTAAGTTCCCAAATAAATCCTTATGTAATGAGACTTTTTTTAAGAAAAAAAAAAAAAAAAAAAAGCAAAACTAACTTTGATTTGTCTTTTCAGGTCCAACAGAGAGTTACAGAGAAGGCTACAAAGCTTGTCTCCAGCGCGTATCCGCTTTGCTTCCCAAAACCGATCTGGATCAAGACGCATGCCAGCGAATCGAGGACTTCGTGCAGAGGTCTACGTCTGCACACAACGCTCCGACTTGCCTGAACTGCTGCGCCCAGAATGCACGGGCTTTCCCTCAGCTCCATCAAAAACTCATGAACCTTAAATCCTGCTTCAGCTCCAGGATGGAAACCCAGTCCCACAGCGGTGCAGCAGCAGCTCCAAGCCGAGCGCAGGCAGTTCCGCCGCAGCTCAGCCCTGCTGTTTGGAGACCCTGGTAGATCTCTGCAGTTAAAGTCTGTTAATTCAAAGGCTGTATTATACTTCCTTTTCATATGTTATGTTCTAATTGCTTTACTTGTAAAGATGTATCGTTATTAAGGACTTATTTTTAAGATGTTTTGATTAAGTATTATATACTTGAGTTTTGCGCGCAGGTCTGTTGTCTTGTGTAATTTGACAATTTTAGACAGTCGTATTCTTCTTAAATCCGCATGTATGTGTACGTTTAATATTTAGTCCTCTTTTTTGGACTGAATGATTAGGGGCTATTGAAACAGCCCTGTAAGACCCAAAGGGTCATTATGTTTACCAATTTGCGCTGGACTTCACAGTCCTGACAGTGCAGATGGACTTTGTAGACATTAAATGTCTTTGTAAGAGTATCTCTTTTGGGACGTGCTGTACGTGTGCTGTTTGCAGCATCTATTGTATCTATGATGTAAATAAATAAAACCTCGATGTCGTGGTTACGTCTTGATTTGTTTTTTTCTGTATTTATTTAATGGTTAATGTATGAGAACGTTTGGATTGGTTGACTGCTTAAAAAATTAGAATAACAGATTGTAAGGGCTAGAATAGAAAAACCCTTTTTTGTCCCACAATGGGGATTTTCTGGTGTTTACATCAGCAAAAAATATTGCTCACACAAATGTGGACCATAGAACAATTTTATAAGAATAACATAATAATGAAGAGTTAAATAAAAAACAATAAAATACTGCACTTTAAAGTTTTTAATAGTAGAGCTCTATATATACAGTGCAAAATACAGCAATATGTTATTTAACTGGCTAAAGTAAAAACTGTGCAAAATCAGCATTAATGTAACAACTTCTTGAGGTTGTTGGGAACAGTGGTGGTTATAAAGTCTTACAGCTGATGGGGGAAAACTAGAACAAACCTTTACTAAAACCAAAAATGAAATACTAAAATAAATCAACAAACCCACCAGACCTTCACTTCAAAGTCTAACGCTTATCACTGAACCTTTTTTTTTTTTTTTACTATTATGTGTTTTCTCTATTTAAATATTAAATCACAGTCCTTTGTTTGAACTTCAAGATTATAGCTTTAGGCTTGTTTATTTAATGTTTTCTGATCTTTTTCTTCTTGTGTCCTATTGTTGGAGCCGTTTCATTACCTAAATTCCCTTTTTTTAATATAAATTTGCACATGCTATTGAGACGTTTTCTGTTTAATTCTGTTAAAAACCCTTCAACCAAAAATACTTGCTGGAAATAAACTCTACAAATAAGCGTTGATATATCCGGCAATAAGTGTTGGAGTAGAAATATAACAGAATTCCAGTTCAACATGAATATTTCCATAAACTATTCAGAAACATGACTGAGCTGAAAGAGACATGTTTAACTCAACAGTGCCACCTATAAGCATGATAAAACATTGCGCTTGTGTAAATTAGGTTCATTGGTCTTTGGCGCCCCCTTCAGGTGAGTTAAAATACTGACATAGTTTCAGTAAAAGCGGCACAGAAACGTCTTTTTTCACCCATCTGAAGAGTATTAGGCCGGAATATAAACTTATTTAAAGCTGTATTAAGCAGCGATATCCAACGCGTGTGGTATTGTGATAAAGAAAGGAATGTTTTGATAAATAAGTAAAACATATTTTTGCGATCCGCATTACTCTCCAAAAGCGTCCTTAAAGACACGCAGTGACCAGAGCATGCAGCGGACGGACGGCTGATTTCTCTCCACATCACACAGGAGCACCGCTGCAACGCGACACCGTCAGAAATCCTCCAAACCATGTCGTCGCCGGGGAAACGCGAATCACCATCCTCCTCCCTCCAGCTCTGCAGGTATGATGTTCATGGTTCATTTCCTAATGAAATAACGCGAAGACTATCTTCGCTGTCAGGAAATGATGAGAAAAAGCGCTGCTATCTGCGTCGCTGTGTGACCCGGATGAAAAACCGGATAATTAGGACTCATTTTAACGCAGATCGGATACCATTTATCCACTAATATTCAGTCTATGCCAGGTTTGCGCTCTACAGCACGGATCCTACTTTAGGCTTCGGTAGAAGATCCACTGCAGCGGCCGCCTATAAGCATCTTAGCTGTGTGATGACCTTAGCTCGCTTAGCGCCGGCCGGCTGGGGAGGGTTTATTTACCAAGGACAGCCTGTTCGGTACACCCTGCTAATAAAACAATGAGTGTGTTTTAAAGAGCCATATATAAACATTTTGAATCCTGCAAAAAAAAAAAGTAGGAATTGCATTTAAATGTATGCCTTTAACTTAATTACATCATCCAAACGAACAACATGGAAATAAACCGTCATCCAGTTTTACAAATTGTGACATCTACTAATCTAATGGCATCTGGGTAAAAATAAATGAATAAATAAATAAATAAATAAAATCCCTTCTATGAATAAACTTCCTCTTTGTAGCATGTGGGTTAGGGTAGTTCCTCGCTTTTGCCTCTAGAGGGCGCCACGTCACTCAACTCTAACTGTATGTACAGTATCTCTGGTGTTTGCACATCACAGCCCAGTATGACTTCAAACTACCGGTAACTAATTATGTGCAATTATTGTTTTACCCTATATGATAGTGTCTTCTAATTTAAAGCAATCAATGTCTTATGCAAGAAAATGAACAATAACATAATATCAACGAACATATTGTGGTGTTGAAAAGGAACACCTTATCTAAGAAATGTAAATCCCTTTATTGTCCCACAATTTGTTCTCTGCATTTTGACCCATCCTCTACCGGACCAGAGTGCTGCCATTGTGTTGCACTTAGGGAGCATGTGGGGTTAAGGGTTTTGCTTAGGAACCCAGAGTGCAGCCTGATGGGATCAAACCGGGTACTTGCAAACTGCTCTAACAACTAGGCCAACACTGCCCTAGCTCAGGGCTGTGAGGTGGAGGAAAAGCAATTTATGCTTTTTTTAGATTTGTGTTTGATCTCTGTCACTCTATCACTTAAAGCAATCTAATTCAAACAACAATCATTTGATGTGACCTAATTAATAAATAGAGCCTAATAATGTGTAGCATAATGTTATTATACATACAGGTACACATTAAGGATAGCATCATACTGTGGGGCGACCTTCCATGGCAGAAATTTGCAAGCAATCAGAGTTGATGGGAAGATGGATGGATGTAAAAAAATTTCCAGAAGAAAAATACTTTGAAAGGATGCACTAAAGCAACAGAATTGTAGGAAACTATAGTGCAAATGGTTTATTTCAATGCAGATTCATGTCTTAGAATAGGCTATTCCAAGTCTAAAGTGAAAGCTATTACTTTGTGGCTGCTCTACAAAGAAGGGACAGTGTCCTCTAAATGTGCAAAACTGAAAGAGATATTCCCCAAAAGACTCCTAGTCATCATTTTAGCTGTTCATTTTTCTCTCTTACATAAACTGTGATAGAAGAGTGTTAGAGTGGTTGAGAGTTTGTTGCTAAGATGTGCTTTATGCTGTATCTACTTTATGTAATAAACTACTCTGTGCTTTGCTTTAGAAAGCAAATATTCATCAGTTGTGGGTGTGCATCCAGCTAAACAAATGTGGTGATCTTTTTGGTTTGCAGGGCCTTTTCAGCTTCTACCTGTCAGAACTATCTACCCTCATTCCCTTTGGGCTTTGCAGTTTTTTCCTTTTCAAATGCAATTTATAAAATCTAATTTAATCTCTGAACTGACATATAAACTGTTTTACTTTTTGCCTTTGCTGTAACTATGCCTCTGGCTGATGTTGCTACCTGACCAAATGGCTGGGGCATAAGCCCTTTGGCTGATCAGTCAGCATGCATTACTTTTGCCTAGTAGTATGGGGATCAAACCCCACCTGGGCCTCCGCTGTGTACCTTGCCCCACCTAAACAAAAATCTATGCAGAATGAAATGTTAAAACAAACTCCTCAATTCAAGTGCTAAGAAAACAACGAACTATAACATGATGCAAGAGTTTTTCATGAAATTCGGAGAAGACTCAGAAAAAAGTGACCCTCATCCTGAATCTTTCATTATTGTTGGTTCCTATAGTGAAATGGTTTATTTCAATGCAGATTCATGTCTGCATAAATATGCGTATGTATACACATATGTATGCATATCCAATACATATGCATACATATATATTTATATTTGTTTTATTTCACTATGAGAGTGCACTCACATTAAACAGCATTTTGCTGTCGTTCAAGCATCACTTTCTCTCACGCTCCATTTTAATAACCCCTGGGCTTTGTCTGACTTTTTTTAAACATCCTAGTGATAATGAAGACATTCTGAATCCTTTTTCACCCTGTAAATGTGTTTAACTCAAAGAAAGACAACCAAGTAGTGAAGATACAATTTGTAAACATTCAGTTCAGTTTGTTTATGTACTGTAGATCCAATTCTCAGGGCCCTTTACAGAGAGACAATTCAACCAGATCATACAGTCAGATTGATTTAAAAAAAACAAAAAGGTCTAATGTAAGAAATCGCCTCAACCTTAGTTCAATTTCAGTTCTCGATCCTGTTAGATCAGACTTGACTCAGTTTTAACACCAGTAAATCAGAAACCACAATTAGTTCAGAGCTGTAATTTGTTATTTAATCTATAGAGATTTAAAATACTTCACATGTAAAATTTCAGCTCGATCCAACATCTGGAAGTGGGTCAGGATCATTACTTATTGAACCCCCCCTCGTAGGAACTAAATGTCTAATTTAAAAGGATCTTAACATTAGAGTGGAATGGCATGATTAAAGTAGGAAAAGTACAAAAAAAAACACAAATCATTACTACACGAGTGGTCCAGAGATTTTGCTTTGGCTGTAAATGTTTTCGTCCACTTTTATTAATGAAATTATAAAGAAATCATAAGAAAGGAAATTAAGTCTGAGAAGTGCATACATATCACCCCAACAAAAGGATTACCACTGCATCAAAAGTAAGTCCCATAAAATAGAAAAGTACATTAAATACTCCTGACTGAGGATGTCTTCCTTTAGTTGTTTAGAAAAAAAAACTGATCGAGAAAGACAGGAAATTGCAGTTTTTCCTTCAAGCCTTTTGAACTTTCAACTTTTTTTTACTTTACAATTCATATATATATATATATATATATATATATATATATATATATATATACATATAAATCTAACCTACAGGGATATTTTCCCCCATGTCCCTCTGTGTGCTGTTGTCTGAATCGTTTCCTGTTCTTACTGTCCATTGAGACACAAAAATCTTGCTCTGGTAAGAGCTGATTTTTACTGATCTTTTGTCAGGCGGGCTCAGATCCAGTTTGGTTGGTCTCTGACCACAAATGACATCACTTCCGGCAGCATTATCAAGATCTGAGATCACAGTAGCAGAGAATATAACAATCAGAGAGCAGTGACGGTTTCAGAGAGGAGAGAGGCAGGCAAGGTGTAAAGATGGATTGTAAAGAGGGGGCAGATCAAGTAGATAAAACAGTAGCAGTGATGGAGAAACAGAAGTCTGAAAGTCAACAAATCTGCAGGGATCTCTGTAAAGATGGTGGAGATGGATCAAAGCTGGGGCCCACATTTCAACTCAGCAGGTACTTTATTGCATTTAGATGTTCAGTAATATCATTGAACAATTTTAGATCATTGATAATACGTTTAGCTGTGGTTTAATGTTGGATTTAAACAATCAGGCTCAACTTTCATAAGTCAAACATCATAATTGGCACATCACAAGGTTAAATACTCATCTAGGCCGTTTGAATGACTGTCCAACTCAGAGCAACCACACACTGATAGCATACACTAGAACTGTTGAATGTTGTCTGAGGGAAAGTTCTGCTGTTGTTTCAGATTTCAGTATAAGAAGTCATAAAAGTTTCTCTTCATCCAACTCATCCAATTGAAGTATTTTTTGTGCTGAAAGCGACATTTTCTCCCCTTACTTTGAAAACACCTTAAAAGTAGTCATGTGTAAGAAGCAAAGTGATTGGGGCGTTATAACCACATCAGAGGGCGTGATGACGTGGACGTTCTGTTTTTAATCTTTAACTGTCTTAGTCATGGGATTAGTCAGGCCTGAGGCGTGTTTGGCTTGACTTAGTAAGTCGTTGGACCAGTTGCACAGATGCACATGCTGCAGAGGTGATAATGAGTCTGGTATAGTAGTACAGTATGTGAACACCATGTAGCTCTTTGATTAAAACAACTATAATGAAGAAAACCAGGTCTATGTAGTTACTTTTTCTCTTTTTTTATTTTGCCGCTGCAACTAAGCGTGAATCTTTGTTCTCTTTGTTGGACATTAACAGACTGGTAGACTGCCACCTTCTGGTTTGACCCATTATCACAAGATATCCTCAAACTTTAAGATTTTTATAGTGTGATAACTTTAAGGAACAATATCGCACTTTAATGGCACTATGATATTCGCTAAAAAATCAACTAAAGAAAGACACTGGCAGAGAAAAAAATCTTGATCTAAATAGCTGCTGAAGCAACTTAATATTGGTTGTTATTGTTATCATTTAGTTATCTGCAACAGTTATTGTTCTTAATTAGGGCAAACTTTTTTTTTTTGCTCTTTGTAAAGTAGCATTATTATATAGTAAGTCCTTTGGCCCTGGGTCCACTGTATAAAAGAAACAGACCTACCACCATGACTTTATTTTTCACAATGAAATTATCCCAAATCTGCCTTTGTTTGTGCGTGAAGGGACAACATTTATTAACCTTCCTTCAATCAGTTGATCGCTAGTTTGGCGAAACACGTGGGGGCAGGGAAGCACTTTAGGCTCAACACAACTGGAGAAAACTAAGACTACTCGGCTCCTTCTTTGGCAACTCAACAAAATGACTTTTAAACAGCATGGTGCATTTCCTTTCATTTTCGAGACTGCAGCTTGTCACAGTTAATATGAATAACCAACACACAAAAGGCCACATTATTCAATAAGATCCTGTGCAGGTATAACCTACACAGGTTTAACTGTTTCGATTGTATGGGTGTGTTCTTAGACAGATGTGAATTGGTGGTAAATGGCATATTTAAGTCTTCTATGAGGCAGACCGATAATTTTGATGTTGTGCTTAACCTTACTCTGAAATTATTTAGTAAAACAGAAATGTTACTGCCAAAAACTTGTGTTTCTTGGCTGCAGGGTTATGCTGCCAGACGACGCCAATATAATGGGCAATGTTCACGGCGGGATTATCCTCAAGATGATCGAGGAAGCTGGAAGCATTGTCGGCACCAGACACTGCAACACACAGAATGGGGTAAACACCGACCACATTTAGTCCCTGCTGCTTTTTCTGGTGTGGGAAACTGTTCAATCCAGGTCCATAAATAATGTCAGGAAGAATGTTCTCTGCGCTCTGAATCCCTGTAGTGCGTCACATAAAATTCAGCGACCACTGAGGGATTTTTTGGATCAAGCCAGCCTTTTCCTTTCACCTGAAGGTCAACCAGTGTGATTAGCCCATGGTAGCTCCTATCCTGTAGCAAAGCGAAGCTCTGTGTCGACAAAACATTCCTAGCTGATCGGTGAGGTGTGTCTCTACATTATTTCAAGAGGAAGTTACTGTAATGCTGTTGGATTCTCAAGCTACTCTGAGGAGCATCTGCTATAAATAAATCTAATTCAGGGTTACATTAGGCCACTTAGGCTCTAAACTTTGACTATGAAGGCACTGATAGAAAATAGAGAAACAAACATCTACTGATCTCACTGGACATTTCTAAAGAAATAAATTAAGAATATTAAAATAAAAAATGTTAAATCTCCTTAGCTACCCAACAGCTGTCACAATAATCATGGTCTTTTTTATTACACTTAACAGCTTGTTTAATCTCTGTTATTCTGTGTACAAACTAGGGTTGAAATAGCAAATTGGATTTGTCGTGATTAATCAATTATTGAAATGATCGTCAACTAATTTAGTAATCGATTAATCGTTAACTGCAATATATAGACTGTAAAACATGCCTTTAGGTGACAGAGCAACCCACTTAGAGCAGTAATTATACCAAGATCGTAAAAAAATATGTAAACTTTTTGCATTCAAGATAAGAAAAAAAAAATAAATCGTCCATCAATATGCTCCACCCAGAATTCCTCAAGTGGAAAAGTTTGAGTTTCACCTGGTTTCATTTTGTAACCAGGTGAATCTTTCTGATTTCTTTAAGGAATCTTTGGCTATCCGATTGTTAATCGAAAAACTAATCTACAGATTAATTGATTTACAAAATAATCGTTAGTTGCAGCCCTAGTACGAGCTTCCACCTGGATCTATGAGGTGAGTTCTTATCTTATTTTAAAGCAAACATTGTCTTTCATACTATCTCAGATTCCTCTACCACCACACATTAAGCTGAGTTTTAGAAAGTTGAACTAAAGTTGAACTAAAAATCACATTTCTTTTCTTGGTAAAATATATTAGAAACAGCTATTTTCCCATTGAAAGCCCCAAGTATTTCCCACGTATTAGAAATCCTGGGTAATTTGCTAACATGGTTTCCCATGATCCAGCACATACACCTTCAGTCCAACAGGTGGCAGTAATAAAACACAACTAGTTGTCCCTTTTTTAAAAATGCTTTATTTACAACATACAGACATAACTGCAGAACATGTAGAAGTTGCATTGAACAAAATACCTATGAATTAATAATATACAAAAAGGAATAAACAAAATACTTATGCAAAGGGACTTCAGTCCATAAGGAATCTCAAAGCTGTTAACATAATACTGTACCTATTCATATATACTGTACATATATATATACATAGTTTTCCCTTTACCCTTAGCTTGAAAAGTGTATCTGACATTTTACTTTTTTATCAACCTGCATCTGGTCAGAGTCACCTTATAACAGTGATATTCATTTAAATAACCACTAAAAGCTGATTAACATTTATTTTCTTTTATTTTAATAATAACCGAGCAAATTCCAGATTCTGTTGCACAAACAGAAAATCTTTGTCTCATCTTTTTAAAGTTTGATTGAAAGTTTTTAATCAGTCACATCCTTTAATTTTATTTTATTATGTGTGATAATTCTGTAAAAAGTCTATCAATACAAAACTAAAAAACCTGCATAACTTTTATCTGAGATATAGAATATAGTATGCATACTTTATGAGTTATTATGTTCCATGCGGTAGAGTAAAAATGGTTAAATTCAGTGTTGATTCACTTTCTGTCCCACCGTTATAAATTCACTGAACTTTCGCCCACATTTGCTCTGATAATCTCATCTTTAGACGCATCCATATCAGATCTGATGCATAACAGTATGAGGAACTGTATGGAAGGCAAACAATGAGACAAACATATTTTTTAAAACAGGGAGCACTTCCTTAAACTTTGAATGTTTGAAAGTAACTAGCTGAACCTCAAATATAAGCAGATGTTGTAACCGTTAACATGTATCTGATTAAATAGAAGATTTGGAGACAAACTGAAAAATAGATACTATCAAAGAATAATAAGTAATATGTTTTGTTTTTATCATTAACATATAAGTGTAGACCGGCATCCTCGGTGTTTGCTGTCGTGGTTCAGTAGCTCTGTAGTCTAGCACGCATATAATCCCCAAAAATTTGACTCATGGAAAAGTACCACTACTTCATCATATTTTTACTCAAGTAAGAGTACAAAAGTATTTGGTAAGCAGGATACTCAAGTACTGAGTAACTCAGCATAACATCTGAAAAATAGAGGCAACATTTTAAACTTATGTGCCAATTCAGGTATTTTAAAGACCATACTTGAAAAAATTAAAACAAATAAATAATGTAATTAAAACATAACAATGTCAGATCAAAGGAACACTTTTCCAAACCATTTTTTTTCATCAGAAAGCTTGTGAAACCAGTATCTACAGTGTCAGTGTTTACTCATTGTGGTTGATCAGCTTGACCTCTAAATGTCATTGTGGGTTCAAGTAAGCTTCTGTTAAAAAAAGAAGACCCCTTTTGACCTAAACCATGCGGAGCACTGTTATTACAAACAAGCTTGCTCATTATTCAATGAAGTAACCATGGACAGGGTAGCAAAACATAAAGTGTAGCAACATTTTATAAAGATACTACTCAGATAAAAGTTAAACGTATAGTACAGTAAAAGTACTTCGGAAAGCAGATTTTTTGTTAATAAGTTACTAAAGTAACTATAACTGAGTAAGAGTAACTAGTTATTATTCCACCTCTGATTACAATATTATTGAGAAATCACAATGAATTAAGAATAACTTTTTGATAGCTGTTTAATGGTTATTTCTAAAAGAAACTTTTAATCTGACAAATGAGCCTCTTTGAAACGCATCCAAAATCTCAGAGGTGTTCCTGTTTTTCTGCCGAGAACAAACTCTTCACTGGCTGCAGCTTTTTCCTTTAACTTTTTTATTTGTTTTGCCAATTTTTGATTCTCAAACAAAATATAACAAGATTAACATTATCAATCACTGGAGTGGTAAAGTGTCACATTTTGCCAAAACTACCTGAATGTTACTTGCCATTTTGCTCTGTTGTCATTCATATTCAGATCAGTAATGCCTGGTTGCCTGGTTTTGCTGGAGGTTTCTTCCTGTTAAAAGGGGGTTTTCTTCTCCACTGTCGCTACAAGCATGCTTGTTGTGAGAGATTGCTTTGGTTTTCCTTAGATAGAAAACCCTAAAATCAATATATATATATATTATTTGTTTGGTACCAGTGCTTTGCTAGAACAAATGAGCCTATACGAGAAACCCACCATTATTTAACCACATTATGGGAAACATTTTAGCTCTTCTATTCTTGTATCAGTAATTATTTTAACCTTTCTGTTCCTCCTGCATAGGACCGTTGCTTGGCTGCTCTGGTTCGGGTGGAGAAGACAGAGTTCCTTTCTCCCGTGTTCATCGGGGAGGTGGTCCACGTCTCCGCTGTGATCACTTACACCTCCCAGCACTCGCTGGAGGTTCAGGTCAAAGTCATCGCTGAAAACATCTTGACAGGTGACTCATCCTGACATTCAGTCATAGGACATTTTTCTGCCATTTGTTAAAGGTCAGAGGAACAAAATGTAAAACTCCCTATAAATTACTGCTGCTGTTGTTTTTAAAGCCTCTAATAATGACATCATTTCAACAGAAATGTTTTTAGAATTATAAAGCATATGTATATATATATATATATATACATTTTTATTTTAGAGAGGCTTGGATGGAGTGAAGAAAAGAAATATAGTTGTATATATCTGAAAAATGAACAAAGAATAATTCCCAAAAAGCAAAAAAATAATGAATTACTTACAATGCAGGCCTGCTATATTTGTATGTTAAACCGACACGAGTTTAAACATGTGTGTCCTAAAAACCTTTGAAATTCTGAAATATTCTGTAGAGGAGCAATATTTATCATTAAGTTAACAATTCTTGTTAAATGTTTATTATCTTTATTTGAACCACAGATTTAAAGCAGATTGAGCAAGCATATTTGAACATTAGCCTATTTTAATGGCAAATAGCCTCAGTTATAAAAGTGAAAATTCTTGTTCACTTGAGATTAATTTCACATACAGCACTATTTATGATTTTGAATGTAATGCACTTGATTTTTCATCCACTCTCTTAATATGAAACAAATTTAATTGTATACTGCCTTGTCAGTAGAGGGCAGCAAATAATACTAATAGGAAAGGCTTTTAAGCAAACAGCTCAAAAAGGTTAAAACATTTCAGGAAGATAATGTTCTTTGCTCTACATCTTTTTGTAGTGCTATATGTTACACATTAACCAAAAACATACACATATGTAGACAGGCTTTTATACATATCTCCCCCCTAGTAAATCTGCAGGAAATTCTAGATTGGACTAAATGTTGTATGTTAACCTTCAGATGTCAGCAATAAATAGAAACTAAACTGCAGCATCCATTATATAAATGAACCTTTGTTCTATTTGCATTTACCGATAAGACAAATGTTTAATTTTGAGTTTATTAAGGAGATTTCGGAACATAAGCTTGATGTTATATTAAAAATAGCAAATATTGCTGAAGATTTAGATTATGTTTAGTTTTGGAAGGGCCTAAAACTGGGTAAAAAATACATATTAGATGTATGAAAAGGAAACAGAGAAAAGCAAATGGAAGGACGTAGAAAGCAGGCAAAGGGAATTTTGAGAAACAGAACTAAAACTGTTTTTAGGCAATAAAGGTTAATAGCTGAAGAAAAGGACTTGTGAAAAACAAAAGAAGTATCCCCTAGACACTTGTCACCGTAGCAACAGGCACATGGTGGTTGCTTGGCTCGTTGCTGGGCCGAACGCTCACTGACAGAGGAGGAGGCAGAGATATGAGGTGAAAAGTGGAGAGTGAGGTGGCCATACAGGCATCAGCAGGGGCAGCCTGCTGCAACTCTGACAAGAAGGACCCCCAAAATGGCAGATATTTAACTCATTGAGCAAATTCATACCGGACATTGCTTGACTTCCAAAACAAATGCAATCATAATATTTATTTAACCAGAAAAAATATTCAGAGAGTATGTTAGAGGAAGTAACCTTAAGATATCAGGATGTCTTGTATCTGGTGCCGTTTTAGGCCATTTTAACCTACAATCCTCTGCACAGTCTATGACATGTCAAATCTACCTCAGTGCCTCTTACACTGTTATAAATAACCTTGATTGCTAATAGAAAAGATCGATAAACATTAAGACTGAGATGACTGTCTTAGCTCAGCATCCATCATTCTGACGCGTCTGTCTATGCTTCAGAAACTTATTACCTCAGAATTTGCAGACCATGTGCAATCACTCCAGTATCATTATGACTCACTCCTGTTATGCTGCATCAGTCTAGAGGCTTCATTTTGCCAGTGTTTAGGTAAAAATGCTAATATGTAAAGTAGTTATTTTTCTTTATGACACAAAACATGTTTATTAGTTATTTTAAACAGCCAAGCTTAAGAACTGCCATCTCAAAATTCAAGGGAAAAATGAAAATAACTTTTTGAAACACAAAATCCTGCCTTATGTTATTGTATTTTTATGTCTTTTGAATTGTGTACTTGTACCTGGATGAAGAGTGTACATTTAGCTATCCAACTACACCAGGATGGGGTATTGTTATATTTACCATTCTGTCAACATCTAATTATATGTTTTATAATCCACTAAGGATCAATGGGCTATATTAAGATAATAATTTAACTTCATTGATCACACATTGGAGAAATTTACCTCTGCTTTTAACCCATCCCCTTGGGCAGCAGTGGGCTGCATTTGTGGGACACCAAGGGAGCAATCAGGTGTTAAAAGTCTTGCTCAGAGAGCCAGGGTGGCAGTCTGTGGTAGTGGGTTTTGAACTCACAACCTCAGAATTTGAAGCTCTATGCCCTAAGCCCTACTATGCACTAAGCCACCACTCCCCCGTGTGGCTGTGTTACAACAGTTGACACGGTAACTGTTAAAATGTGCATGGTGAACCATTATAATAATTTTATTTTAATGGGTATCTTATAAAATATAAAATACCCAAAGGTATCTTATAAAATATAAAATACCCAAAGGTATCTTATAAAATATATTACATATGATAAGGTCAAATGATTATTAGTATTTAAATATTATTAATAGATTTTTATTTGCAGTTAATTTGAATAATTTTGTAAAAAATAACAATTCTTCACAATAATCAGTATAAAAAACCACTTGTTCATTCATGACAGAACTCAAATGTTTCTTATAAGTGCTGAGCAGGCTTTTGTATGCCACCACTGGTATCTTTGATCATTTATTCCTTGCAGAGACCTCTGAGTCTTTTGGGTTGAAAACAATATTGTCATCCACCTTGATCTTAAAATTCCTCCACAGATTCTCTGTTGGATTCAAGAGGAAACTCTGACCCTTTTGTCAATTTACAAGAACGCAAGTGGGAACTCGTTTTCTCGCCAAGAATGTTCTTGACAAGAAAACAGGACAGTATGGACTATAATGGAGAACGGGAGCACGCAGCATAAATATGGGTCCATTGGAACAGATGTGTACTCATGACATCACCACATTCAAAGCTAGTCTCGAGCTGCATTTCAGCTCTTATTATTAGTCTCTAGATAATAATAAATTATGACTTTTTTCATTTAGTGGGGAAATAATGATTAATACAGTCAGATAAACATAAATTAAATGAACATTTTGCTAAATAAAACAAAAACAATCGCCATCAGATCCAGCGGTCCTTCCCACTATGCCGAGATCGGGCTGCTGCAGATGGGCTCATGTTAGCCCCTGCTGTGGTTACCCTCAGAGGTCCGCTGGTTGCCACGGTCCTCTCAACATCAGAACGTTTTTTTAAATTACATACTAAATCAGTAAATGGGCCATATAGTGAAGCTTAAAACGTTAATGTTCTTGCCTTAAATGAGCTTAAATAAGCTTTTGTAGAACAACGACAAAGGAAAGGTGAACTTTAACTTAATACTCTTAGCTCTCTGAGTGCTCCACTGGAAGCTGTGGTGCATGCTAGGACAGCTATCAATCTAGAATTGAAACAGTGCTAGGTCTGAGGCTGGTGGCGTTTCAAGAGCATACGAGCACATGAAAACGCACAAGTACACATATTGAGAAACAGCCTCGGACTGGGCAAAGTGAAAAAATGTTTTCACTAAAATAACAAAAAAACAAAACAAAATGTTAATAAGATTAAAAAGTGTTTTAGAACTAAATCTGTCAAAAGGATGGGTTTCGTAAAGGTTAATGATCTGGACTCATTTTGAGATTAAATATTATTTGACCTAACAAAACGTATTCCCGGAACTTACCAAATAATTTTTAGCTGAATTAATAAGAAAATTGCTCAATCACTCTGCCTTGGCATGTTCTCCATGGCTTCATAAGCCTTGGCAAGTGAATCATTATCAGTGCAGACAAAGCATCTGCATAATGTAGGGTGACTTTGGACAATGTAATGAACATGTCCTGGGGGCCATTTCTCATGCCATTTTAAGAATTGCATTGCTCAAGTCGCAGAACTTTTTAACATATTAAAACCAATGGGTATAAATATGGCTAAGCTGGTTATCAAATTGTGTACGCTGCGGGAGGATTCTGCACCTAAAGCTGTTAGCACTACAGCTGTCATTAAAGGGCCAGATATGTAATAGTGTGAGAGGGGTAAAGGCTGGTACGGTTGGCTGGCAGAAATGGAGCTGCAGCTGAATGAATCTTTCGATAATGTTTTCAAACATATTCTTTTGCAAAAAAGATTAGGAAATTAAAATGTTAATTATTTTTTAGACATCAATATCACAGATGATTAGCTAAATATGAAATAATAAGCCATATATTTGTATTTCTTGAAAATTTTTATTATTTTCAACATTTCCTGTTCTCCTTATAGTGGGAAACGTGCATTAAAGTGCTTGTCTAAACAAAAAGTGCATTAATCTAAGATGTACATCCTTAGGCAGTGTTATGTAAATTGGTTTATTCTCAGCCTACAAACACAGGAAATAGTGAGTCGGGAACCTCAGTGATACACTATTTAGGCTGTAGTGACCAAATCCCAGAATCTGTAATTACAATATGTCTTATTAAAGCAAATTAAATTACCTACTGTCGTAATTTTCACTATTTATGACATGAGGTTGGAAGTATAGAGAACACTAAGAGTGCTGCAGCTTTGTGTTGATTTAGGTTCATATCTACAGAAGGAAGTGAAAGTGGGTTGTATTTGAAAGTATACTGTATATATGGCCGGACATATGCTTGAGTATGTGTGTATGCAGCGAGTCTGAACCCATTTAAATTTGTTTAAATGCATCTTTTGCTGTGTCTGGATATCTTTCCGACATGTGAAAGCTGGGTTTATATTACATTCTACACTTAAATTCATCACTTTGCGTTGTTTGCTCTAAATATGCAAGCATGTATTTCTCATCCGAGCTTTAAAAGGTTCCTGCAGGGCGGAGTGGGAAGAAGAAGAAGATAACGGGAGCAGACATTATTTGCTTCTGTCATGTCGGCTTAGCGTCAGGCCTCGCACACTGCGGCCCAGTCAGATACGGATGCACAAGTGAATGTACCTGCACACACACGCCTGATGGAACGCGCGCATGTTCCCCATCGCGGTACTTATGCATGCGGCTGAGCAGAATGTGCTGGGAGGAACGGGGGGGCACATGAGGAACCTGATTTGCTGACACGTTCAACACAGAAAAAAGTCACACTTCCACACGTCCTCACACCCACACAGCTGCACTCTGATCAGACTTTCTCCCTTTGAGTCAATGAGGCAGGACTGCCGCCATTTTACACAGTAAGGGCCACACTTGAATATGTAAATTCTCATGCTGTAGTTTGTAAATAACAGACCGTCCTTTTGTACAGCTTTTTTTTAGGGTTTTTCAGGTTTAGCACTTGATGGTGCTCTTTGCTAATACGTCTTTTCTTAATTCATTTATGTTTGTTTCCTATTTGTGTTTGTGTGTGAGGCAAAGCATACAGGTTCCATAGTCAGTCAGGCAGTATCTCGTCAGGCGGGCCTCGGTCACAGACCCCCAGGGTAAGACTGCCTACTGTGAGCACAGGCCGTGATGATTGTCCCCGCTGGGGGAATCGCACATGCGCACTGACTCGTGCCACAGTGCTTAGAGATTCTGTTGTACCCACCCATGTACAAAACTGTCTTAGGACACACAGATACCTCCGTTGGGTACAACACACACACACGTTTTAAGGAAAAGGTGGGTAAAGCCCCCATAGACACCCAAAGATCTGCTCTGCAAAGCGCTAAAAAAACAGATCAAACATATATATATATATATATTTATATATATATATATATATATATATATATATATATATATATATATATATATATATATATATATATATATATATATAATAAATATATATATATATATATATATATATATATATATATATATATATATATATATATATATATATATATATATATACACGTAAATGCATCCTTCTGCTCTATTGCATTCACTTTCAATCTACATTTACATAAAAATAGAATAACTAGACCTTGCCCCCTAAAGACACACGCAGACACACACTCTTAGAGACACAGCTGAAAACAGTGAATTGTGGGCTGAGGCTTAATATTCTAAAGTGTGACAGCTTTTGTCCTTGTCACACAACCAAGTATGCTCAACTACAGCTAATATGTTCTGCTACATGCTTTCATGAATCCATTTAAAATAAAATTGACAAAAAGTAAGATACAGTAACGGGGTTTGGTCCAAATGTTAGTGACAGTTTATCAACAGACCTTTCAGAATGATCGATATACAACCTTGTAAAGAAAATTAAAAATAAAATAAAGTATAAGTGAATCATGATATATTTGAGTTCTGGTGAGGATTCAATTATAACGCACTTATTTGTTTATTTATTTTTCCATCTAAAATGACACACAGCTTTATCACATCAGAGGCAAATGATTCAAACATCATAACTCAGCATTGTAATAAATGATGCCATGTTTAAACCTCAGAAGTTTAGTTTTTTTTTTTTTGAGGTGAGATTGAACCCCATGGTGGTAGAAAGAAGATTATTTATTAAGGAATTATAAAAGCTCTCAATGAGATTTGAAATCTGCCATTCTACTCTATAGTCTTCAAGTTTACATTCAGAAAAACTATCAACAAGCTCAGATCTAGATATAATTTTTTTTACAGGCTCCCTAAGGTTAATATTAAAAGTTCACTGCTTGACAAAGAGAAAGGCTGCTCCAATTTGGCTTTCATAGGAAGAGCCAAATAAGTAAACCTTTGCTCTCTAAGAAAAATTTAAAAGTCAGATTTAGGTTTTGCCTTGGAGAACATAAACAAATACCAGTACTTCTGGAATATTTTTGGACAAATCAGTCTAAATAGGAAATATTTTGGGCACAAAACAGGAAAAACTAGGAAAATAACCTCCTGTATCATGGTGTGGGGAGGCTTTGCTACAGCAGCACCTGGCCAACTCACCATCACAGCTTGCACTATGAAATGTAACGTATATAAAAGGTGGTGTTTAGGAAAATAGAATGAAAATAAAAACCTGCAACGTTACAATAATCCAAAACAAATGAACAAAAACTGGTTGGGAATCGAAAACATGGAAAAGGTCTAGATCTTGAGCTCACTGAGATGCTGTAAAATGACTTGAGAAATGGTGAATATGTTGGAAGCCTCTCAAACATATCACAGCTTACATTTCTTCAATTCAATTCAATTTATTTATATAGCACCAATTCACAACACGTCATCTCAAGGTACTTTACAATTCAACCAGATCATACAGTCAGACTGATTCAAAGTTTTCAATGTAAGGAAAACCAGCTGATTGCATCAACTCATTGACTCGATGGCAATCCCTCACACCAAGCGATAGTGGAGAGGAAAACTCCCTTTTAACAGGAAGAAACCTTCAGCACAAACAGGCTCAGTGTGAGCGGCCATCTGCCGAAGCCGACTGAGGTTCAAGGAGACAGAAACAGATATCTCTGAACATATCTATCACAGCTAAAAGTAAGGAGTGAAGCAGATTTTCCTTAGACAAATTTCAGACATGTAGATGTCTACAAGAATGTATGTTTTGTTTTGTTTTATGTATTATTTTATATGTAAATCTGTGAATGTATTTTTGATTTAATGAGTAGCTCAAAGTTTTCCACATACCGTAAATCCTCTAATATAGGCCGGGGCCTTTATTTCACTCAGGTGCATCTTGGTCCAGGCCATTATTGGAAGGAGGCCAGAATTATAGGCAGGCCTTTATTTCTATTTGATCAAAACAGACGACCAGTGGAATGAATAAAAACAGAATGTGTCTCTTTGAACCGATAAAATACTAGGTTAATTTATTGAAAAAGTACAGTTACCATAACAGTTTACAGAACATTATTCAGACATCTTCCAGCAGCTGCTATTTTTCTGCACTGCAATACAAAAAAAAAAAAGACACAGAATGGATTCTTGGCCAAACAAAGTTTTAAAATAAATTAATGGAAACTGTTCTGCCTTCACAGCCGGTCATAAAAACCAAACAATCCGGCCTCCTGTCTGCAGCACTGTCTGCGCTAAGGATGGGAATTCCCAAGCTAATGGATTGGATTCGTTAGCAAACACTGCCCCCCTGTGGTACTTGCATGTTACTATCAGAGGTTGCTGAGGACTGCACAGGAACATCGTTGGTTCCAATTATAGCCCCGGCCTGTATTAGCGTCCGGCCATTATTTACCCCCGCTGACAGCAAAACCGGCCATTATTAGAGACCCGGCTAATCAACCCCCAATAATACCTGTCTGTTACATGTCTAATATTTTTCTAAGTTTTTCATATATCATTAAATGCACTTTAATAGACATTAGTGATGCTTTTTATGTTTTCCACTTCTCCTCTTAACTTTGTATACAGCTTAGCAAACATTGGTCAACATTAAATGTCATGGGTATGAATCAGGGCTAGACTTGGACAAAACTTTGGCCAGGAGATTCTGAGGAGAGACAAGGCCTCCTGGTGTTGATGAAAAGATAGTAAAGCTTATGAATGGAAACCAACTTTCTTGTGAGAATTTTTTTTCTCATCTCTTTCTCATATTTATTTGATTTAGATCAAAGTATACTGGCAAGTGTTTATATTAGCATAAGTGGACTAAAGTGGGACAAAATCAGACCGACCGAAAACAGCCCAGTTCTCAACAACTAACTATGCTAGATGCTAATGGAATACAGGCCAATATTAGAGGATTTACGGTAATTGTTTCTCTCTGTCACTCAGGGAGCCTGTGGGGGGAGGTGGGATCTGAGCTTTGAGGGACGAAGAACATGTTTGGATAGCTTTGGAAGGAACGCTTAAGCTTTCCTACCTACAGAAAGTGCTCTGCTCAAAGGCTAATCATTTATATGAACTCGCATTCATATCGGAAGTAAGTTATGAGCAACAGAAAGATGGGAAAATTCTTCAAACATAGAAACAAATCTGAGGGTACATCTGAGATTTGCAACAGGATGTGTGATGGAGTAAAGGTTACTGTTAGTATTAGCTTGCTGGTCTGGAGTCCATCAGCTATGGAGCTGTCTTTGGTCCCACAGACGGTGTAAATTAAGTTTGAGACATTAAGTGTTGAAAACTTGTTTTTTTTCTCTCCTTGAAGATCTAAAAGCACTCAGAGAACCTAAAGTATAAAGTATGCAGCTCTGTTTAAATTAAGCATCGGAAATTCACAAAGAAAGCTATGCCATCAAACTTTTCCTGCCCACATGATTAATCTCTTCCTATCAGGTTATAACATCTCACAGGGGAACTATAGTAAAGTAAAAAGTTAAATAGAGTCTTGGCACAGTGCAGTGGAAAAATCTGTGGTTTTGATCACTAGGACACAGCGCCAGGAACGATCCTCTCTGGGCTGTCTCCAATCTTGGAACATATTATCCAGGATGGAGGGGGAAGAACTGAGAGCAAGAGTATGACACAAATGGGAAAACAAAATCACAGCAAATCCCTTTAGGGTGATAGAACCAGAGGAAAAAGTGGACCGGAGATCAAAGATGTTCAGGTCAGCAGGTCTGATCAAAGTGTTTGAAAAGAGAAAATGTGTTTTTAGGTATTTTCAGAAAAAGCATGTTGTTATGATTGATGCTTTAAACTTGGATTAAAGAGGATTGACTCTGGGATAATCCATACCAGGGGGATTCTTCCTCACTTAAGCACCGGCTCTCTAAATAGCCTGTCTGTGTAGTCTTTGGGGTTATATTTTCTGTTTGGGTTAGTCTGAGCTGCTTTTGGAGCTAAGCTTCATCTTAATTTGATTTTCATTCTTGCTTTTGATTTTTCTCTGAGAAGACTTGCTTTGAAGACCATCTCCCTGATCTAGTTTATGATTAAAATCTTAGCTCCTACTTTGGTCAGTCTTTGGGACTACTTTACTCACCCTATTCCACACAGTAACCTGCTACCTCAATGCATATAGTACAGTACGAGCTCAGATTTTCAGATTTTTTTCTTTAAATCTAATGTTTTTCCTCTTTTACATATTGAATATTTAGTTTTATATTCCTGTCCTTATAAAGCTTTTTTGAATATTCAGCAAAAAACTACAAAATACAGAATAGGAGATACCTGTCATGATCATGGCTCTGGTAGCTGACTTAATTGCTCATCTCATTCACCTGTCTAACTCTGTCTGGTTTTCAATTATCACTCATCTAATCCACCTGCTCCTATTCTATATATACGGCTCAGTCCCAGCTATTGGGGCCAGATCATTGATGTTCAGTTCATTGTTGAGGCCATGGTTCATGTTCTTGTTCTCGGGTGCCAGTGGTATGAGAGGGTTTTAGTGTTTTGTAGTGTTCCTGATTTCCTGATCCTGATCTGCCGCTTGTCCGCTGAACATGCCCTAGTCCTGTCTTGGCTGAGTGAAGAGAGCAAGTTTTTAGTGTAATATAGTATTCTTGATATTTTGTTCTTGTCTGCCTCTCAACCACTGAGCTTGCCTGTTCCCACCTCAATGTTCTGCCTGAACTCTCTGTCGGACTCCTGAAA